GGTGAAGAGACTGAAGAGGATGCTGACGAGGAAGAGAAAAAGAGAGTGACTAAGTTAGAGCTGCAATTGTGATTTGATTAATCCAGTGTTTCCCATTGATTAACGAGACCACGGCGGCACGCCACAGTGTAATTTTTTCCGCCATGGTTTCCAAATGAACCGAAAATATTTTTACACATGATAATAACATTTCAGACCTGTAATTTTGTGTTTTGTGGCCGCTGCAGTGAGCTCGCATGCTCCCTCACTTTGGCATTCGACTCCAGACAACCACTTTTCGTTTAACACATATTCATGTGTCCATTAAAAGTAAAAAACCAACACCAATAAAAATGTTAGGGAAATTACTTATTGTATTTTTTATTCTTTGATTTAGGGTTGCTTGAAAAACATTAAATAAGTTTGTTGACTTTTATTGCTGTTTCACCTTTATAACGGGTTTATGATCAAATAGTATACTAGAGCACAACATTGTTTACAAGAGTACAAAGTTCTGCCTAGATAGCCTCTTAATTTGTACAATGTACAAAATTTTATTCCGGGGGGCGGGGGTCCAAGGTCCACCCACCATAGTCTCTTAAAATCCTTCTTATACGTGATTGTTTTCTGGTTTCTTTTTCCTCTATGACAGTAAACTGAATCTCTTTGGGTTGTGGACAAAACAAGACATTTGAGGCCTCAGGAGACATTTTGTAGACCAAATAACTAATTGATTAATGGAGGAAATAATCGGCAGATTAGTCGACTAGAAGATAATCGTTAGTTGCAGCCATAGACCGAGCAAGAGGCTGCTGGTTGTTGGCAAGCTGGACTTCTTTCTGTTGGACTAGTAATATCGCTGTGGCCCTGTGTTGTCTAACGTGCTTGATGTCTGTTAGCAAAGTTATCGATTTGCTAGTTTTTGATCATTAGGAATGTGATCATAACAAATGCAGAACCAAATCTTACATAATGTTGCTTTAAGAAGAGATTTAAAGGAGAAGGATTCCTGCAGAGGAAAGACCTGATCCTGGTCACGTGTCTCAGAGCTGTACTGTAGTCACCTGACCATAAAGGACAATTCTGAATCAAATTACTACTATAATATACTATAATAATGTTTTTCTTCTTTCTCTTTGTTTAAGTATTTCAACGGGCGTCTCGCAGGTGATAACACCCCAACAGCACATCAGGCATTGCTGCTAAAGACTACAATTATGACAGTTGGATGGCCTTGCTTTCCCAGCTGCCCCTGCTGCTGTTCACCCTGCTCAACTCTTTCCTGTATCAGTGGTGAGTTAACGGCACGCTGCTGTAAACCGTCACAGTTTCACATGCGTGAGGCTGAAACCTGCTGGCGTGAACAAACTCGATGTCGGTCGGTGATCTTCTCTCCGCAGGGTGAGGGAGGGTCTCCGCGTGGCCTCCAGCCTGATCGTCATCTTCCTCCTCTTCTCCGTCACCGCCGCTCTGGTCCCGGTGCACATGCAGCCAGATACTTTCTTTTCCGTCACCATGGCAACCATCTGGTTCATCAACGGTGAGTTTATTAACATCAACTTTAAGTTGAATGTTGGTTTAGTTATTTAATTTAGAAAGAGTCCCTGTATCTTGCTATCTCCCCTTCACTGCTGTATTTAAGTCAGTGTTTTCCCCTTTTTAGTTGCCACTTCGTCTTTGTTGTCTTGTGTTTTGAACTTTATGTCTTATTTGTTGGATTTTGATTTTGTCTGCTCTCTGCTTGAATTTATTATGTCCTTTTGCACTGTGTGCCTGGTTTTGACCCTTGCCTAGGGTGACCAGATGAGAATGGATGAAATTCGGGATGAGGGCGGGGGGGTTCGTGGCTACCGTACATTCAATAAACATTAACACACGTGAAAATCACGTTATGAGATAACTGTTTTGTGATTTGGCGCTATATAAATAAAACTGAATTGATTTGAATGGAAGATCTCTCCACCATGGCTGCCTTAAGCTACACTTTTTCTGTCGTTGCAACTGTAACTTCCACTAACCACAAGAAAACAAAAAGAGCAGTTGTTTGTGGCTATAACATAACGCTGTTGACACAATGTACAGATAACCTGTAACAACGATCAGTATTTAATGATTAATTAGGCTATGATCAAAACCCATGTTAAGTCTAATTTTCAGGACAAACAGGACAGGAGTCAGCCTGTTTCATAATGCCTTGTAAGCACGTTCTTCAGTCGTCACATATGGACGTCAAGACCTGTTGGCATCAGTTTGTAATGCGCTGGAAAGCCCCTTAGCGTCATAGTTCAGTGCAGTGGTGGAAGCCCCGTAGTGTCATTTATGAACACTAAAGGTAGGTGTAGGATATTTAACACAAAAGTCAGAGTAAGGAGGTGGTTGGGGTGGATGGTGAGCCAGAAACCGGACTTTGACCCTAGAGATCGGTCTTTGTTTCCCGTGTGAAACAAAAAGTTAACATTGAATGTATTTAAGTTACGTAAGTAAAGTTACTTAACTTATTTAAGTAGTTGGGAGTGAGAATGTGTTGTGTCTGTCCTGTCCCAGTTAGTAAGTCTCGTTATTGCTTGGGTTTAGTCTGTGTGCTCCCCTTGTCTGTTGTGAGTTCGTCTTCGTTGTTCTTTTGTTCTAGCATACCTGCTGCTCCTAGTGTTTTCCGAGGGTTTTTTCTGGACTGTGCGTCTGGGTTTGACGCGTTCCAGCCTGACTACCCTGTTTGTGTCAGGTATCAGAGTCTGAACCCAAAAGCAGACTGGAGTAGGTGAGAAAAGTTATTTATTGAAAAAAAACAACAAAAAGAGCGAGGCTGGAATAGGTTTGGGTCCTGGGTTGAAGGTGTGCCGGTGGGGTTTTGCTTGCAGGAGGGTGAAGCTGTTGTTCCAGGAAGAGGTCTGGTGAGTTCAGTGGAAGGCAGAGTGAGCTGGGTAATCCAACATGCAAAGAGTAAGATTTGCAGGGGAGGTCCTGTGGACAGGAAAATCCAGTTAGAAAGGTAGGCAAACAGACTGATTCTCAGAACAAGCAACGTTTCTAAGATAAAGCACACCAGTAGGGCCGGTGCGTGAGTGTACTGAAAAGACACAAAGGTCAGGCAGGGAGTGAAAGGTGGGTCTGATCTTAAGTAGGGTGTGTCAGGGGCTATTGTAGTCAGGTGTGTAAAAGTGCCAACCGGGGAAGTTGAAGGCTACGCCTACCAACCCCATACAAGTCTTTCCCACACACAGACTTACTTGGGCGGACCAACTGCCCAGGTATATTTGGTGACCCATTTTTCATTAGTTGAGAATGAATTTGAAGTTTATTAAATTGGTTAAATAAGAAATAACCTAGACTAGAGATAGAAATATACCCTACTAACCCCAACACTGACCCAGCTGCCGCCACCGCCCAGGTAGACACTGCAGACCGACAGACAGACAAAGCACACCATGCACTGACATACCAGATGTCAGCAGGGGTTACATGGGGGGGGGGGGTGACAGTTTGTACCTTTTGAAACAGTTTGGATTGAACCTGCTCTGCCTCGGTGCCTCATTTCAATCCCTAATTTTCCAGTTTTTCCACTTGAACTATAACATTGGCACTGAACGTCTTTACATCCACATCATGTAAACCTTGGAGTTGAGATCCCCATAATTGTAGAAGCTGAACTGCAGTTGAAAAGATTAAGTCCTTTAATTGATTATCCTGCTCAGTTTTAGTTAATATCACTGCTCTTACGTAATACTAGGTTACCTTTACTCGACATGAAGCGAGAGGGGTGAAACTGCAGATTTCAACTGTCAGGCCGGTCAGTTTTTTACGTCTCCACAGGAAGTAACGTGATGCATTCTCTGTTGTTTTGCTACTCTACACATCGCGACAGTGGTAGGTGACTGGTTAGCATTATCCAAAAAATTGAGTAAAGTCTGAATGCATTGCTCTTGGTATATGGTCGCCGTCAATAGCTACCGCTGTCAATATTGTACATCTAAATCACACAAATTACAGAATGTTACACGTGTGTAAGTTAGGTTATTTGTCGTTCTACATAGGTAACGTTAGGCTATGCCAACGGCGGCTAGCGTTAGCTCCTGAAGTAGCAGGATTAGCTTTTTTTATCCTTTGGATAACGTAAGATATTCATACTGTATGAAGCTACTTTGTGTTTGTTTTTGTAAAGCATTTTGCAAGGGCATAGGTTTGCATTTGTCTTAACATGTTGACGACACTCACTAGTTATTTGTCCAAAAGAAGATAAAATAAAAATCTATATCGTTTAGACCGTTCGGTGTAGCTTTTCACACTTAACGTTAAACAGTGTGCAAAGACTTTGCTGGCTGTACGAATTGATCTTAGTTGAATTGAAGTTTATGTACTACGACAGTGTTTCCCATCCCTTTCCTGAAGAAAGTTTCCCCCAGTCCTGCATGATTTACTCTCTCCCTGCTTCAACACAGCTGACTGAAGCAGCCTCAGGATTCATAACATTTAGATGTACAAATATTGATAGTGGTAGATATATGCATTCAGACTTTAAAAAATGTTTTGGATAATGCAAATCAGTCACTGCTGCCTACTCCTTTTATAACTGTGTAATCTGTGTGTGTACAGTGAATAAAGTAAAAGTATTGTTAGAGTAGGCTATTGTCTCCATTCATTTTTAAAAAGTGGATATTTACAAAATTATCGATACAGGTATACATGTTGTATTGTGTTCATTTTTACAGTTTGACAGTCCACAGAGTCCAGCAGGGTTCTAGTTACGGTCTATAGGAGGGTCTGAGCTCTTGTTGAAGCAGTAAAAACATGCATCTGTGGGGGTCAGTAATTAATTTACCAACAACCATTATTTTTAATCACAAATGTACATTATATTAATAAGATAAAGACACTAAAATGAACATGTTTTCCAAACAAACTATGCTGCGCACCGCATGAATGTCATTACGACATGATTAATAATAATTAACATACCATAAAGGGCGGGTTTGCGTCTCTCCTTGAGCAGTGGTCTTGTTGGTTTATTTCAGGCTTTTAAAACTTGAACTTTGTTGCAGTATCACACACATCTGGGGCAAGTAGTGGGCTGCTGTGTTTGAGAGAAAGTGTTGACCACGTAATGAGAAATGAAGTCTCTGTCCATTCTTCTATTATTTATTTATTAATCCCTGCCAATAACATCCGTTATACTAGACTCCCACGAAGCTCAAATTGTAGTCCAGTTTCCACAGTTGTCCGTTTTTCCTAGTAAATTCAGCTGATAGCAGTAAAATGCCATAGTATATTACTCTAAAAAGGTAAATTATGAATGAGAAGTGTGTGTATGTTTCTTTTAGGATGACTGGAAGAGAGGCTAAGTTACACTCTTAATCAACGACGATGTTTTTCTGTGAATGGATGTGGCTGTATGGACGGAATTAACGTCATATATTGATATACAGTGGGCTTTGTTGCTACATTGGCACATTAAGTGCTAAGTAGAATAGGCTCAAATCAATATGCTGTAGGAATTACCTGCTAGCTTCCCGTTACAATGTAACTAAGTAATTAAATAAAAATCAACGACAAAAACCCTCTCCCTATGTCTACGATTTGTTTCCTGTCAAATTGCACGCTTTTATTTTGTCGTTTTTACGTGTATTTCCTGTCCTGATCGGCCTGACAGTGGAGGTCTGCAGTTGGACCCTCTTGCATAAAGCTGGTGTGGTAGAGGTGTAAAGGCTGTTCACCCTTATCTTGATTGTGTTTGCTGGGGGGCTGCACAATTAATCGAATATTGATCGCAATTACGATTATAGCTTCCCACAATTAAATGAACATGATCGACGGCGATATCGCTGTTTGAAGTGCGTGCTCCGCTCATGGAAAACTCTGCTGCATATCAAATCAAGAACTACAGGCAAGAGGGCAATTTGGCAGGGCACGCACACTCCTGCTGGCAATAGACAGCAGCGCTGCAGCTGGTTGCGGCCCTTCTAGTCAGTGCTTGGAAGTCCATCAGGCGCAGCGCCTCCCGAAGATGCAGTTCTCGGCTTGCGCTTAAGCCATGTGAAGCTGCACAGAGTGTCAGCCGACTGTGGAAGTATCAGGCATGTTTGTCTTACTATAGTTATAATAATAAATATTAAATTTATCCATTTTGCTATAATTACGCTTCGGCTGTGTTTGCGACCTGACCTTTCTTTCTTCATGAGAGGGGAGAATTTAGAAAGCTGCGTGGCCCTGCAGAAGGCCCCCAGCTGCAGTAGTAGGCCTACATGGATCATGGGTAATATTCATCCAGCCAGAGGGAACGATTACGAGCCATTCACAGCGGGCAGCTCTTTCTCCCTAGCATATTGTTTTCATCACCAGAGTTCACATCCTTCACCGTAACGTTTTCTTCGCGCACCAGCCATCGCCCCAGGTCGACACAGGAAGAAGAAAACACGCTGAAAACACTGTTCAAGTGAAAATTTAGAGGAACAAAATAGGAGAGAGATTTTATAAACCTTTTTTTTTTTTTATGAATTACATTTTAGTCTGGTCACTTTTCGGCAACAATATTGCATGTTAATATAGTCACAGTCGGCGTCTAAGGACATCATCGCTGTCTGGTTGCGTCAGGGGTAAAAAGGTAGTTGACGAATATATTTCGTTTAGTTTCGTCTGACGAAAGTAACACTATTGAGCTGAGAAATTTATCCAAAGAGACTTACAATTGCTTTATATGTCAGAGGTGCACGCCTCTGACAACTAGGGATTAAGTATCTTGCTCAGGGACATATTGGTGGATGTGTTGCAGTGGATCCAGATCTTCCATCACCAGCCTTAAAGGCATAATGCTTTACTACTTTATGTATTTTATTATAATCTTTGCTTATATTGTGTGCGTGCAGTGTTCAGTGCGGTGCTGCAGGGCAGTCTGTTCGGGATGGTCGGCCTGTTTCCTCCACGATACAGCACTCTGTTCATGAGTGGTCAGGCTCTGGCCGGGATCTTCGCTGCACTCGCGATGCTGTTCTCCATCTTAAGTAAGTAACACAACCTAACTTTGCTCTGCAGGACCTGTGCTGACAACCTGCTGAACAGCTGGTTTGGGACTCGTCAGTACAAAGCAGGTGCACCTTTTCCCTCTCTGAATGAGTTTCAGATTTTAAATTGGAGAATTGAATTTACGTTTCAGAAAAAAGGGGCTGCAACTAATTATTATTTTCATCAGCCTGCCAATAATTTTTGTAATTAATAGATTAACAATTTGGTCTGTAAAGTAAAAAAAACAAAAAACATTTAACTAGAGTGTACTCACTTCATGTGAATAAAGTGTTTCATTTCCCCTGCAGGTAACGCTGAGAAAGACTCGGCTGCGTTGGGATACTTCATCACGCCGTGTGTCGCCACTCTGGGGACTCTGCTGTGTTACCTGCTGCTGCCACACCTGGTGAGGACACCGCACACGCTCAGACACACTGCATTAACATAACATTCATCTCCGGTCCTAAAACTGTGTCGGAGTGAGATAAATCCAGCTGTTCACCTTGTTTTCACCCGTTTATATTTTTTAAATCGGCTGATAAATCGGTGTGCCGATATTATCCGCAGATATAAGATAATTTCAGATTAATCGGTGGTGTGTTTATAACAGCAGATAAGTAAGTGGTAAGTAAGCAAAGTTTATTTATGTAGCACCTTTCATAGACAAGAGGGCTCACAAAGTGCTTTACAGTAAAAATAAAATAACTGTACATACATCATGAAATACCATAGAAATCTGAAGAAAGCTTATTTCTTCTTCTAATCTGATTTTAAATCCTAATATGTCAAAATCAGTAAATCAAACAGGGTCTAATAAAAAGTTTCCACACTACATCTGCATTCACCAGTCATACACTGAGTGCTCAAACAGAAACTAACATTCACACTCATTCATACACTGGCGGAACAGGGGCAATTCGGGTTCAGTATCTTGCCCAAGGACACTTCAACACGCAACCAGGGGGAGCCAGGGATTGAACCGCCGACATTCCGATTAACGGCCAACCCGCTCTACCCCCTGAGCCACAGCCGCCCATACAAAGTGCTACTTATCATACAAAGTGCTACTTATCTTACAAAGTGCTACTAATGAAAATAATGTCTAAATTAATTAAACAAACTACTTGACAAATAAGTTATATATTGTGTATATATTGCGATTCATTGGCCTATCACTGATTTACACAATAAATGACTTATTTGTTAAGTAGTTTGAAGGCATCACTTTCAGGTGAAGGCAGCTGCTTACATTACTATAGTTTCCAACAGCCTTCTAAGGCAGCACTTACGGCAACGTGTGACCTCAGCACGCCGTCTTGCGTCTCTTCTGACAGCCAGAAGAGACGCTAGCTTTAGCATCAGCTAACTAGCTATTGAAAAGGCAAATGGCTAAAGACGCCTCAGAAATCATACTGAACAAACTTGGTTGGTTACAGTCACGGGCTAATATGATAGTTCAGTATTTAGTTCTCACTAGATTTTCAAAAATCGAAGCGAGAAAACTACTAAAAACTTATATCATATAATATATAAAAACGTATATTTGTGTACAAATTCGGCTTGTTTGTCCGCCATCTTGACCAGTTTTCGAAAGCTACTGCGGCCGCGTTGCTTTATGGGTAATAGGCAGCATCATTCAAAATCGGCCGTTACAGGGGCAGTCTGAAGTCATCTCAGGAGACAGGAAGATCGTTCGAGCCTCTTGGAACATCGCTTGATGCCTCGCTGTCCTATTAGACACCTTCTGAGACAGCAGTTTAGCCCGTTTCAAACACAGCCGTCTTACAGCTCAGGGAAAAACTCCAGAACCTCAAAACTATTAGAATTCTACAATAAAGAATTTATAATACAGACATGTTGACCTGAGAAGAGCGAAAGGCACTTTAATACGTTAATTTGCACTTTACTGCATATAGAGCACTTTAATCGACATAACCCTGTATAGAACATTGTGGTATCTTTACATTGTATATTTAATATGTGGTTTTATTGTGTTGTTGTTTTGCACCTTGTGACCTGCTTGGGACAGCTCATGGAAAATAGCCTTCAGGCCAATTCTGCCATTTTTAAATTGCTAAGAAGCAAATATCTTCATTAATATGCACTGTCTGTAGGGCTGGACGATATGGCCAAAAATGTTATCACAATAATAAGTTTAATATCTGTCGATATCATAAGTTTCAAATGTTTTTTTCCTTTCGAGTTTAAAGGCTGATTTTCTCTCCTGAGTGAAAGTTGAAGAAACCTGATGGTTTATTGTTTTTCAAACTTCTTTATGGTCAACATTTGATGCAGTGGATCACTTTACAAATCTGAGGTAGAACTTTCAAAACAATTATGATAAAATCAAATATGCACTAGTAAAATTAAGCTTTTTTTCAGTCCTTTTTCCTCAACAACATAAACATCTTAATAAAAAATGAAGTCCTAATTCTTGTGTGATTCCAGTGAATAAAATCAAACATTTATTGAACATTTGTTATATTTTTATTGAAAATAATTATATCGCGATAGTTATTGTTATTGTTTTATTGTCCAGCTCTAACTGTCTCTTTTAAATAAATAAAATAATAATCAGCTAATTAACTCAAAACACCTGCAAAGGTTTCCTGAGCCTTTAAACTCTCAGTCTGCTATTGCTGCTCACAATAAACTTTTCCATTATATTCTTCTTCTTTTTTTTTTTTTTAGATGCACCTGTGTTTATACATATATCTTTAATCTTTAATCTTTCAAGACTTCAGGGGCTCTGTAGAACTCACAGTACAATCTTCTGACATTGTTGACTCTCCTCTGCAGGAATTTGCTCGTTTTTACCTGAACAGAAGTCAGTCTGAAAAGGAGGAGACGATGCAGGAAATCCTCAACAGTACAGGTCGGTTCACTTATACAGTATTATTTAGCAGCGTGATAATTTTAGGTCAGGGATTCAGCTGATGTAAGTCAGAGGTCCAGGATTGTCTTTGACTAAACTAGTGATTTATTAAATCAGGTTTAAACGAAAACTTAAGAAATGTCTAAACTAGTATAGACTTTAGTAATGTGTGAATCAGATGCTAGGAAACATCTGTAGCGCTGTCCAATCAGGAGCTATCACCTTTGTAAAGAGGAAGTCACTGTATGATCAAGAGAAAGTGGGACATGTCGGATTATGCTAAACTTAGCGACGTTATTAATTAATTTAATCAAATGTAATTATCAAAATGTTTCCTAATTTGAAGTATGTTATGGTTTTTTGTTAATTTCATGAAATGTAATTTAAACATTTCAAGATCTCCATCATTAGTTTCAGGTCCGATACGTTGACCGTTTACTCTTCCCTCTACCAAGGTCGTATATATTAGCAGGCTAACGTTAGCTTTGTCAGTTAGCTTCACAAGTAATCTCTGTTAAGAATTTGTTCGTGAGGTTAATATATTTACTCCACTTACTGGCTCCAGGTCAGTTTGGATTATAACATTATTAACTAAATCACTTATTCATTTTAAATGTTTTTTTCCTTTTAAAGACAAAAAAGTGTTGAACAACGGCAAAGACCTTGAGGCCAACGGGATGCTCACCAGTGAGGCAGAAGAGTGTCAGGAGCGTTCCTCCGTCCTGGCTGTCTTCAAGAAGGTGAACGACTTTTCATTCACTGTTTGTCCCATTATAATTATTATTTTTTGAATTTATATAAATATATAAAAAAGATGGATTCAAGGCGTCACAGAATAAATAAAACAACTTACTGACCAAAAACAGCGAGCAAACTGAAAGATTGTGCAGCATGTTCGAGCAAATCCTCACATTGAAGGAGCTGGAATCCTCTAAAAACATTTTTTAGTTTATAGTTGACTTAAAATGACAAATTTATTATTAAAAGCTGGCTCAAGTAAATACTTAGTTTCTAATGATTATATGATTAAAGAAAATCATGTTGGTGCATATTTTATTTAAAAAAAACATAACGGCGCCCTGTTCAACACTAAATCAAATGCAACATACATACACAGTTAACAAACAGGAGGTTGTTTAACATCAAATCAAATATAACATCAGCCCTTGTTTTTATTTAAATTTCAGACTATTCTTGTAGCTGATGTGAATTCCTGGATATTAAATGTTCATCTGCAGTTTTCTGTAGTGGTCACAGTAATATTTGTTATCACTGAATACTGACACATTCTGCTGGCAAAACATTATTTAGAAATGTTTTTGAATCATTTAAAAATGTATTGAAAAATAATTGTATTTTGAGTAACACACTAAAGTAAGACACTTTTATAAGATCTGTAGTTTCCTAATAACTAATTTTATTTTACTTCCTAATTGAAATGATTTGCTTTTATCAGTAGTAGCTATATTTTATTGATAGTAGAAGGTGATAAACTGGCTTTGTAGTCACATGTGTAGAGGCACATAGAGCAGCGTTCACAAACGCCTGCTGGCGATATAAAACTATTAAAACAACCGCAGGCAAAATCTGCTTTGTTTTCTTTAGTGATTACTTTTGCTGTGTGGCAACGCTGCGGAGCACAAACACAGGAAACTATTTTAAAGTAGTTGTGTCTCAGTTACCATTAATCATCTTTTCAATCAATAACCATATTTTCACCATGCACTTTAACATTTTAATACTTTCAAACATTTATACTTTACTCTAATTAGTATAATGTCACGTTTGCCTTTTAGTAATCTTGAATGTTCCTGTGTGTGCTGCAGATCTGGCTGATGGCTGCGTGTGTGACGTGTGTGTTTGCCGTCACCCTGTCGGTGTTTCCCGTGATCACAGTCCGAGTGCAGACGGTCTACACGGACAACGCCGCCTGGAGTAAGACTTCACATCATTTTGCTGTGTTTACATGAGATCAGAGTTACTGTAATTACGAGTTTCCGAATCGTAAACAGCATTCAGACGCCGAGTCTTTGAGTATTTTAATTGCAGTGAGAAGGAATGACTTCCTGTAGCGGTCCTTATTACTGCAGAGCTGAGGGAGTCTCTGACTGAAGAGACTTCATGCAGAGGATGTGAAGTGCAGAGTCAGCTTCTTAGTTCAGACACTTCAGACCTGAAACTCTTTTACATCTGACTTTGTTGCTTCAGCCAAAGTCCGGTGGTTTTATCCTTCACTAATTCATCCCTGCTCTCCATCTGTTACAGAGAAAGTGTTTACCTGTGTTTGCTGCTTCATCGTTTTCAACGCCATGGACTTTGCCGGCCGCAGCACCCCGTCTCTCGTCCAATGGGTGAGTCTGCTGCCTGCTCTCAGGAGTTACCTGCTATTTCTAGTGGTGGATAGTAATTAAGTACACTGACTTACTGTATTTGTTCTTTACTTGAGTATTTTCTTTGAAAGCCACTTACTACTTCTCCTCCACCACATCTCAGATATAAATATTGTACTTTTTACTTCACTACATTTACCTGACAGTTACTTTACAAATTTTTACACACAAAACATGTGAAGAGTTAATAAAATATGTTTTGTCATAAATTACAGTTTATACAAGTACAGCTGGCAGGATAATTTAATTGATATTGAAATTATACATTGGAAACATTTCATGGTTCCACAAATGTGAGGATTTGCTGCTTTTCCTTTTAACTATTTTAATATTTGTAATCCAACAAAGGTTAAAATGAAGGGCAACTGGACTTGGTTGAAGATACTGGAAGACGTTTCGTCCCTCATCCAAAGGACTTCTTCAGTTCTGACTGACTGGCAGGGAAACTCAGCTATTTAACCTCAGTGGGGTCGTTGGCCCGGGTCATCGATACCGCTGGTTCGTTAGTGTTCCTTGTTGCTGTGACGACAGTCGTTACAGTCGTTAAGACTACCTGTGGCCAAGACTGAACGACCATTGTTGGTATCTTCACCTGAGGACAATAGGTTACGTTTGTTGAGTTTCCTGGGAAGTGATGAAAGGACAGCATTGTAAGTGGGGGATAAGTGGTGGCGTAGACCCCCTCCTCTGTTCAATGACGGCGTCTCAACCCTGGTGTAGATGCTTCCTTGACACCTCTTTCAAACCATCCATCTTCTCTGTCTAAAATGTGCACCTGGTGGTCCTCAAACGAGTGTCCTCTGTCCTTCAGATGTAAGTAGACTGCAGAGTCTTGACCTGAGGAGTTGGCCCTTCTGTGTTGAGCCATGCGTTTGTGTAGTGGTTGTTTAGTCTCCCCAATATACAGGTCTGTGCATTCCTCACTGCATTGGACCGCATACACTAGATTGCTTTTCTTGTGTTTGGGGGTGCGGTCTTTGGGGTGGACCAGCATCTGTCTTAGTGTGTTCTTGGGTTTAAAAAACACAGGGATGTTGTGTTTGTTGAAAATCCTCCTGAGTTTCTCTGATACTCCAGACACGTATGGAATCACAATGTTTTTGCGTTTGACCTTCTTTTCCTCATCCCCTGTAGTGTTGGTCTTCTTGACAGTGCAGTCCAGGAAGGCCAAACTGTTGTTGTGAACATCTTCTCGTGTGAACTTGATGTTACTGTCCACAGAGTTGATGTGTTCTGTGAAGGCTTGCACTTCCTGGCTTTTAATTTTGACCCAGGTGTCGTCCACATATCTGTACAAGTGGCTCGGTGGTGTTCCTCTGAAAGAGTTGAGGGCTTTATTCTCCACTTCTTCCATGTAGATGTTTGCCACAATCGGGGATACCGGTGAGCCCATGGCACAGCCCTGCTTCTGTCTGTAGAATCCTCCGTTGTACTGGAAGTAGGTGGTGTTTAGACAGAGGTTGAGTAATTTACAGATTTGGTCAGGGCTGAGGCTAGTTCTGTTGTCCAGGGTGTTGTCTTGTGTTAGCCGTTTCCTGACGGTTTCTACTGCCTCTATGGTGGAGATGCAGGTGAACAAAGAAGTCACGTCATAGGATACCATGGTTTCATCTGGATCCAGTTTCAGTCCTCGAACTTTGTTTACAAAGACCACCAGGTGCACATTTTAGACAGAGAAGATGGATGGTTTGAAAGAGGTGTCAAGGAAACCATCTACACCAGGGTTGAGACGCCGTCATTGAACAGGGGAGGGGGTCTACGCCACCACTTATCCCCCACTTACAATGCTGTCCTTTCATCACTTCCCAGGAAACTCAACAAACGTAACCTATTGACCTCAGGTGAAGATACCAACGATGGTCGTTCAGTCTTGGCCTCAGGTAGTCTTAACGACTGTAACGACTGTCGTCACAGCAACAAGGAACACTAACGAACCAGCGGTATCGATGACCCGGGCCAACGACCCCACTGAGGTTAAATAGCTGAGTTTCCCTGCCAGTCAGTCAGAACTGAAGAAGTCCTTTGGATGAGGGACGAAACGTCTTCCAGTATCTTCAACCAAGTCCAGTTGCCCTTGATTTTAACCTTCGTTGGATAACTATGACCTGGATGACTGAGAATCTTCATAGACAATATATTTGTAACAATTTTGAGCTTTGTGCTGCTGGCTGGACACATCAAGCATTATGAACTACTTTGGGCTCTGGGTCACTGTGACGGCATTTTGAGCGATTAATGGAGAAAATAATCAGCAGATTGATTCAGAATGAAAATAATTATTAGTTAATTAATAGTTCAGATAAGCTCCCCCTCAGCAGTAACATCCTGCTTTTACATTAATGGTTGAGGAATAATAACAAACTAATATATAATAGTACAACAGTCTCATATCCTGATTATACTTACACACTTTATAAGTTCAATGCAGGACTTTTACTTGTAACAGAGTATTTTTACAGTGAGGTATTAGTACTTTTACTTATGTAAAGGATCTGAATATTTTGTCCCCCACTGGCTATTTCCGTTTTAATCGTCGTATTAATTCCTAGTTCCTAAATGACTCTGTTGATGTATCATGCAGCCTTCGAAGGGGAGCGTTCTGTTTCCTGCCGCTGTGCTGTCCCGTCTGCTCTTCATCCCTCTGCTCATGTTGTGCAACGTCCCGAACTCCAATCTCACCATCCTCTTCCGTCACGACGCTGCCTTCGTCTTCATCATGGCCCTGTTCTCCTTCTCCAACGGATACTTGGCGAGCCTCTGCATGGCCTACGCTCCACAGTGAGTCTTTCTTTTAATTCCCTCCGTTTTCTGAAAACGACACTAAGAGGCTCCACAGTGCGTTACGACCTGACGTCTGAATCTAGTCTTGACCATACGTCCATATGTGACAACTTGGGAGTGAGGACAGGTTGTTTCTAGTGACAAATTTCTTTCCCATGATGAAAAACCAAAATGGCTGTTACTGTTTGTGAGTGTGGACATGTTGTAACTGTGTGTTTCCAGGTTGGTGCGGAGTAAGGACTGTGAGACAGCCGGCTCTCTGATGACCTTCTTCCTCGTTCTGGGTCTGGCTCTGGGAGCGTCGTTCTCCTTCCTGCTGGGAAAAGCGGTTTAGACGACTGGGACGAGCAGTTTCATCCTGTCAAGTCAAAAAAAATGGTGCTAATTCATATGCATCCAAGTAAAAGCACTTTGTATTAGAACAATTATTCTGTGAGCATCTTCAGAATAGTGAAGGCTCATATTTGTGCACCAGTATAAACACGTCTGCTTCGTTGTTTACAGAGCCCCTCAGAAAGCAAAGCATTTAAAAAGATATTTGAATGTGTACTGTTTAGTAAACTGACTGTACCTGGATTATTAAAGTTAAAGTTATTATTGTGAGATAAATAGAGTTTATTAAAGGTAGGAAAGCGGCTAAACACAAATGCACACTAATCTGTGAGGTCAGATGAAGTGTTTTGATATCATTGTGCGAGCATAAGCGTGCATAAAATTGTATTTTATTTTTTTACAACACAAATTATTTATCTGTACCCTCCGGTACCCAACCGAAGCAGCCAGAAGTCTAAAAATGTTGTCCTTTAGTGCCTTGCTTAAAGATACACAACACAGCACTCCTGTTGGCTACAAAGAGCTATCTGTGTCGACCAATGAGAGCTTTACGGGTTAACACACATAAAGGGAAAATGCAAGTTACTGTATTTAAAATGTATTTTTTGATGTTTTGTTTGAATTGTTTTGTCAGGGAATTGTTATTATATTTTATTTTATACTGTTTGTTATTGCTTGTTACCATTTTGTAAAAAAAAACAATAATAATGTTTGTATTGTTTTTTAATGTGTGTTTTTTACCATGATGATGCTGTGTTTTATGCGATTTTATTATAAACTAAAAAGTACATTTCTTTTTGCTTTCATAATAAAATAGACTAAAGTTTTATTGTGTTTTCTTTCTTTCTTCTTTTCACACGTCAGCTCCGGGTTGAATCAGAATCAGAAATCAGCTTTATTAAAAAAGGATTTTTTTTTTATGTGCTGGGAATTTGCCTTGGTATTTTCGTGCATATCGGCAACAATAACATTGTAAGAGAAAAGAGAGGAGACAAGTACTGCAAAAATCAAGAATCATAAATATACAATAGAAATTTACAATAACAATTTAGTTTTAAAATGAAAAGGATGAAGAAAGTTACCTTATTTTGTCGCAGCTCTTATGTTAACTTGGCTGTATCGGTCTATTTATGCTGACAGTGGACAAATATCAGACGATTTAAATCAATAAAATTGTTTTGTTTATTTGTGGATTCTTGAAAGTTTTACCTATAATTGAATTAAACACCTTTCCTCCTTTTTGTACATTTACAGACACTTATTGAGGTTACAGGATCTAACAGGGAACACATCACACTACCACAGTTGTTACCCTACAGAACATACATACGTACATTGTGGTTTGTCAGGTTTATAATGAAGGCTCTTCAAACTGATAGATGGTTTAACCTTTCAACCTATTTTGTGAAATTGGTCCAGTATTGAGGGAGCACGCTGCAGTCGCAAAACAGTAATGCAGTGTAAGCCTTCCAGGAAATTACGCCCCGTCAAAGTACGTCTACTTAAGTGTTTGTATTTGGCACCGACAGACTCAAATTGTTTTTACAAGTGT